AAGATTTGCTCTTTTAAATGCAATCGTCACAATTTCTTCATCTAGTCGCTCAATGAATAAATAAACAAGAAAAAAGAATGGTAGAGATAGTTTTGATTATTCTAAAAACGAATATATCTGAAAAGTTATTGAATTCAAAGTTCCAGCCCACCCTTGATGAAAAGTAACATGAAATCTTTTTTGCTATAGCAAAAAAATTAAATAAAACAATCGTTACAAGTCATATCCTCCTTTCCTTAAACAGATTAAAATAACGAACAAATACTACATTAAAATCAAGGTAAAAAATTAATAACAGCAACGATCAACGAATGTTTTACATATAATATGTGCAGGAAAAGAATCACCAAACAATAAAATAAAGAATATTAGACATATACTTTCTACAACATATCTTTCATAAGCATATAAATATAAATTGGTTCAAGTCGAGTCTAATGGAATAGTTTTTGGTCGTGGAACAGATCAAGAAACAAATCTGTGATTGAATTACTCCCTAAAACAACTCAAGCAAAAAATGCTTTATGGAGAAAATCTAGCTTCAATCGACTACATAACCGAGCAGTTATTTGAAACTTGATGGATCTAGGTAAATGTACCTTTTTACCTAGTTACCTAGCTCCAACCTAGTGGTGAACCGAGTACAAGATTATCATAATCGAGTAGGAGCGGGAGGTTGACAACTAGGTTAACCGCCCAATCAACCAACCGGTTAAGCTAGCTCCGAAGACGAAATATATTTAATAAGAGGGTGGTTATCAAGTAGGTATAGGTTAACCGGGTGGTTGGAAGTCCGGCTAACCGGACGGTTAGAGCGCTCGGTTAATCGGGCACTCAAAGCTAGCTTAAAAAATAAGAAAAAAAGAATATGTGCCCAACGAGAATCGAACTCGCCGACTACAGCGCACTGTCAGAATTGAGACTGGAAGTACGCGACGTTTTAACCAACTAATAAGCTACCAGGCACACATGTAATGGTTGATAAGTGATGAAATCATTGAGAAAATATTTTAGAGATTGGTGTTTTCTGTCCGGAAAAAGCATTTTCGAGAGTTGTGACTCGAACATAAAATGTGGCAAATTTAATTTTCTAAATTTTGTGTTCAGACCAGATTTTAAGAAATCGTTCTTCATGGTGAAAAACAGTAAATACCGTTTTCTACTGTGGAGATTAATTTGTACAAAGTTAAGCCCGGCAGATAAAATTTAGGAAATTAAATTTGCTACATTTTTTGTTTCTAGTATAAACTTTGGAAAACTCTTCCTTCATCGTGAGAAATCACAAACGTCGCCTTTTTAGTCTATATTATTTTTCATAATGAACGAAGAGTTTTCCAAAAGTTGATACTAGAAACAAAAAATGTAGCAAATTTAATTTCCTAAATTTTATCTGCCGGGCTCAACTTTGTACAAATTAATCTTCATGGTGAACAGTATTTACTGTTTCTCACCATGAAGGACGATTTCTTAAAATCTGGTCCCAACACATAAAATTTAAGTGAGCGGTTGGAGCTAGATCAAATAGAGCTAGCTCCATCGGTCGGTTAACCCAGGAGATAACCTCCTCAATCGACCAAAAGTAGGTTGAACCGCCCGATCCTAGGTTAAACTTTTTGAGATGGAGCTGTCTTAACCGAAAACCGTGTTACCTAGCTCCAACCGCCCGATTCTAGCTCCATTTTTTTGCTTGGGAAGGTAAAACTTTTTTCTCCGATATATCGACGAGCTACAAAAACTGACCTGTGCCATCTTGTAGAAAATTTAATTTTATATTTTTAGAAAGTGGGAGGATGCCTGGGACGGGCTTAGTGGTGAATCGTTATTAAAAATACTCGAATCTGAGAATAGCTTTATTTACGTGGCTATTTCCGATTAATTATTTAACAGTAGAAATGACTAATTATGAGTTACCCACTACAAATACGCACATGCGTTCGAACATCCATTTCTTTTCTTGTTGATGTTATCTGCAAAAAATCTACAATATCGAAGGATAAACAGAAAAAAACGATCACATTCAGTGAACGGAAAAACGCTAAAAAGTCAGTGTAACTTTCAACAGACAACGTAAAGCCCCGATAGTCACTATTCTGATAGATAAATAAGAAGGACCCAGGTCAAACAATTCTACCGTAGGATCCTACAAGATTCTTACGAGATCTTACAAGATCCTACTTTAGTATCCTATAGGATCCTACGAATATTCTGTATGATCTTGTAGGACTTTGTAGGAACATTCAAAGCCAAAAAATCCTACTGTAAGATTCTTATAGGATTCTGTAGTAATATCTTGTAGCATATTGCAAGATTCCACAGGATCCTATTGTAGGATTGCAGTAGGCTTTTATCTGATTTTCTGCCGTTTATCCTACCAGGTTTAGTGTTTTTATTTGTTTAATTATTCTCTGATCCTAGCTAGCGTCAGAACCATGTAATTCTGAGCTGCAATAAGCCCAAGACTTGTGAGTACTGACTCACACGTCGTCGAACAGTAGTGACAGTGTTCGGTGCAAAAATTTTAAGCCTAAAAGAATTTTTCATTTTCTACAATAGACTTGTATTTATATTAGAGTTACTGCAAAACACGTTGGTGATTGTGTTTTCGTATAGAAAAAGAAAAGAAAATGTACACAGAAAAAATAGGAATCCTACAAAATCTCACCGTAGGATTTTGTAAGAAATGCATAAGATTCTTATAGGATTTTTGCTACTGTCCTATATCAAGAATCCTACCCAATTCCTGCCATAGGATTGCATAGGACCTATCCTATGAAATCCTATTATCAGTAAGATCTTAGTAGGATTGCTTGACCTAGGGAGATATTATATACGTTGCTTCTTTGGTATAACTTCCAAAGAAAACAACAAAAAGTTAAAAAGTACAATAAAAATAGGTATACGACTGTTAATCAATCGAGTTTTATGATTCCAATAATACGGCTAGATCTCAAACCGTTTGACGGCAGATGTGGCGACCTCATCAGGAAGTGAATATGGCTCATTACTACGTTGTTCGACAATCGATCCAATGTGCACAATGAAAGAAAAGTCCAAAAACAGAACACAAAAAAACATACCAAAAACAATTACTATTGACAAGGTAACGCTCGTCTGGACTCGCTCAGTCACTTAACTTTAGGAATTTATATCTGCGAACGACCTTCCATGACATTGAATCAAAGACAACACTCACACCTTCCTTCAGTCGGTGTTCGCTAGGGAACTATGTAAAATACAGTATGAATTTTTCTCTGATTTGATGTGTAAGCGTCGTAATTTAATGTAAAATTAGAATGTTTTCTCGAGACCGTCCAAAAATCCCAGAGATCTAAAAATATTTCTGAATTCAAGACAATGCTCACGTCTCCCTTCGGTGGGCCTCAGCAGCCAGAATAAGTGCTGATGTGGGCCAAAAAGTAAAACGAAGATGATATCTCAAGGAATTAAACCAATACTGTCGATACGAGTAACCACCCTAGTAAAAGTACTCATACTATGAGTACGACTTTACTTATAATTCGTTCATGAGTACTCATATGAGTTATACTAACAACTTTTGAGTATTCTTACTCAGTGAGTACTCAGTTATTCATGTAGTACCCAGAAAGTATTTATTCATCATTTTGTTTTGCAAAAATGAAACTGTATAAAGAACGTAGAATTTAGTAAAGAAACATAAAATATTTATATTATATTTTTCTTGCTGGCCTCTCTGTATATAGTCAGAGATGAACTCGTCTGTGAATAGACTTGTAGTCCTACTCTGGCTGCCTGAGATCACTCCTCTATATGAAAATACCAGATGAACAATACTCATGAGTATTTTGGCAAAAGTTATATGCGTACTCAACAATACTCAAGCATGAGTATTCAAAGTCGTCCCCATAGTACTCATTACTCACTCATGAGTACTCAAAATGTATGAGTACGTACGAGTACTCGTCCGATTTTTCCAGCAGAGTACTTCTTGAGTACTCACGCATGAGTACATTCACTAGAGCAGTGTCATAATGAATAACTTATTTGTTAAATAAGTTAATATAAATAACGAATAGCCCGGGATGAAAGAAATGAATTTCTTGATTTATAACAACAGAGAATGTATTATTGAAAAACATCTAGTTATTACTAGTAAAATACAAACCAGATCTCTTAATATGATTCTGACAAAATTCTAGATAATTCTATTTACGAACTCAAGTGTTCGATGGGTTTCCCAGTGTAAGTTGATTTCGATGGTAGGATCCAATAAGACATATCAAACTACGCTACAATAGGAATCATATGAGCTCCTGTGATTGGATTACATAGAATTTTGATAGGATTCTGGCATAGAATTCTTATACAGACCGTTTCAGCAATTTCGGATGATTCTTTCAAACATTCTCATCTTTAGCCGATGGGCGATAAAGAAATAATAAAACAAACTTGACAAGAAAGAAATAATACTAAAAAATCTTTACACATCCTTCGCCCTATATACATTGACGGCTCGGCTTGTTTGTTTTAACTTAAAAAAAAGAATGTTAAAATCTTTATTTTAATTGATTTTTCGAATTTTAAAGTCAAAATAAATGAAAATCTAAGTGGATCTGAAAGTATTTCGACGTATTATTTAAAATACCAAGATTTTCAGATTAGATACACTAGATGGGGCAGGTACAAAACCAAGTTGGTCAATATTGATCTGGTCCTATTGGGACCAGGTTCAAACATACATAAATACATGAGCCAGACACACAGTATATCATTTGTTCAAAATATTATTAATGCTAGTAAATTTATTTTCTACATCACTCGCGTACATACATAAAAACAGCAAAAACAGAACATTGAAAAGAAATTTTTTTACGAATGCGAATGTACTCTTGTTAGTCTATATTGTGTCATAATATCTTCTTCAATCGTTTTATATGCCCATTGATGATCACACAATAATAATCCTTCTTTTTCTGCTTTAAATGCTTTTGACGGATCTTGTGGCATAGACATTGCTGCAACATTCATTTGATCTTGAATAATTTTTGTTTGATCAGCCGCATTATTTTCACCCAATATTAACGTATTAACACTACGTAAACCAAATATATTCAGTGCATACCATGACACGGAGCTAACCCTAAAATTATGAATGACTCGTAAGGTAGTAGATCAATACATTTCTCTATCAAACACATACCAACTTGCATCTAATGATAGTAATTCAACTCCACGTTGTAACATTGGCTTAAAACGAAATGTTAATGGAAATGGTACTTTAGCTAAAAAAAAATAATTTATAATTAGAATAGAAGACTGTCTTCTTGTATAATACATACTGCATAAAAAACCCGAAAATGCCCAATTAATCCATCCACCAATAACAATCATTGGCACCATATTAGAAATATTATTTTTCAACATTTCAGTCATCATTGTTGGATCTATAAGGAAGTAACGTTTGAAAAATAAATAATTCTTACCCATTGTATATACCTGTTATAGGATTTCTTATTGGTTGTTGTCTTGTTTGTTGAGATGTGAGATAACCATTCTCGTCATTTACAAGATAATGTTTACGCATTGCAAATCCCTTAATTATAGAACAGAATTATCATTATCTACAAAATAATCTTTTAGACGTGCATTCCCTCTTGAACTCTTCTTAACCTCTATAGATGCAAGTATAGTTTTGTCTCTTATCACTGTGAGAAAAAAATTCTGATCTTACACAGGACAATTGTTGGTAAGCTAGATTCTGATCTCAGATATCAAAGTCAAGCTACTAGGCAAAGAAAGTTTTGAATTTGTACTAGCTCTTTCCGAGCAGATAAACCGTCATCGTTTCAATTTTCATTGGGCACATTTTTCAAATCTTTTATGATCGCTTGATGAAACTTTGGCAGATTTTTTCAGTTCTTGATAAATCTGATTTTTTTTCGATGTATAACCTATTAGAGTAATGTCTAGAACATATTCCATTATCTAGCTTTCCTAGATTTTGTTGTCAAAGTTTTAACATTTGTGTATCCACTCCTTATAGAAACTGGAAAAAACAATTTTCTTATATTTTTACAAAATCTATTGTTTTATATGCAGTCAAGTATGCTGATTATGAATAGTCTATTTAAAATTAGAGAAGATGTTGTTTTCACTGAGAATGCATAGTGGGAGTTGGCTTACACTTCTAAGATTTATTTTACCATCGATGCAGAAAAACATTTCGAATATCCCAAAACGGTTGAAAAAATGTGTGCTATTTCAGCATATAATTTCAAAAATACTTCTGGTTTACGTTATGGGATCAATAATTACAAAAACTTTGGATTAAACTTCGTATTTTTGATACTGACATCCAAAGAAATGTTGAAAACAATTGAAACAAATGACTGGATACACAATTTTCTATGCCATGAGGTTTTTTATGGTTGATCGATTGAAAAAGCAAATTCTGTCAAAAATAGGCCAAAACCCACTACATCAAACGTTTTCATCTGTCAGAGTAAACATCAGATTTGTAATCAGTATCAAAAATTGAATTGAACCGTGTACACACCGCTTTTATATTCGATCTAAAACTTAGGCCTAATACTACACCTGAGGAAAAATAAACTTTGGCTCATTTTTGTAGAACAGAAGTTCCTAGAAAATAGTCACTTATGTTATTCGTCAGAGAAAATGAAAATATCATGAGAAAACTTCGGTAAAACATAAAAATAAAATAGCATAAATCACAAATCAGATGGCTAGTGAATTTCAAAATACACTCAATGTTGTATCTGTAAAATGATTATAGTCAGACAAAATCTGATGTCACGCTCTAACAGAACAAAATAAAATCAGCAATTAACTAACAGGTTAAAGAGATCAGCTGAGACTAAAAACAACACTCATCTTAAATTCTGGAATTTATTTTTCAAAAACTCTAAAATACCTGGAAAACTAAAATGCTCACAAATTCAGAATTTAGATCATAAACTTAAAAATGAAAAAAAAATTTTCATACCTCTTTTGGAATATATTTTCCATTTTCTCTTAATATCCGACTACGAATCAATGCTTGACTAGAAAAAGAAAAACAAATGACTAAAAGTTTATCGTTTTTTGTTTATATTTGTTTGTCAAAAGAATGAATACCTATCTGCCAATTGTTGTTTATCGACCGGCTTTTCTCCTGTAGTTAATATTGTTATATAATGTCGAAGAACGCCGACAAAAAATGTAATGGCAACAATGGGCATAAATACCCAAAATCGTATGGATGAATCTAACAATAATTCAGCCATCTAGAAATAAAATATATTTATTAATATTATACAAAAAACACTGCAAAATTTAAGATGAACAAGAGTTTCTTCTTCTTTTGTTGTTTTTTAATTTACAAAACATAAAAACAATATCTTCTAACAAAACGTTTAAAATAAAACAAAAAAAACATATTTTCATGGGTGTTATTGTTGTTTGACGAGTACCATTCACCAATTAATAATCAGCTCGTTTCAAGCTGATCAATTCGTTCAACAAAAGATAATACTGCATTTCTAAAAAATCTAAAAAACGTTAAAAATAATTATAACATTGACGATAAAGTCATTGGATTAATGACAACACATAGTGGTACAAACCAATAGTCAAGCCGATTATTCTTTATTCTCATTCTTCATCAACAACCGAACTAACGAACACCAATAAACAAAAACAAATAGAAATTAACATGAGTCATATCGAATCATTGAACAACGTTAATTATTGTATGAGATATCGATTGTAGATTAAATTTTGTAGTTTTTCTAAGAAAAATATAATTTACTTGATCGAATAGCTATCGATACACGACTCATTTGAATATTGAAAGGTTAAAATGAAATCAGACTCAAAACTGAACAAAAATATGTTGACTTCTTTTGTTGAAAGTGTTACATACCATGCTTTCTTTTCATTCATTCTCCCTTCAATCAGATGCGATGTTTGTGAAAATCCCTGCAAATCACATTCTTAAAGAATCAAAATTTTAGAACACTCGTAAAAAATCAAGTCTTAGAATTCAAACGGAAACTTTTTGTGAACAACTCAGTCGTGTAAAGCAAACATTTTTGAACGAAACTAGATGGCATTAAGGTCTTCATCATGTTTTTTTCATCGAACTACAATCACCTTAAGAAAGACCTCTTTGCATCAAAATCAACAAAATCGCTAGAAAAAGAGTAAAGATGACAATAAACCGAAGAGATCTTTCATAAAGTGGATGCAGTTGGTCTAGCTATCATGATTATAGAGAAACAACACAAAAAATAAAATCATCTAAAGTTTAATAGCAAAACAGAAATAAAAGTATATCTGTGCGGATAATAACCAAGATATTTGTTCAAAAAAATGACAAATTACATTAAATATTCGTCGTCATTTCTGACTCGTCATTCTACATGTGCGAATTTTTTTATTAAAATAATTTTCTTTATCATAATTATCAATGGACAAATAATCAATATTTGAGTCTTGAATATTGAAAGAGTAATATTTCATTATACTTATAAATTCTTGACAATAGTAAAATATCCGATGATTTTTTCTTCATTAATCTTTTCATTCACGTTGTTTCATTGTTTTTGTTATTATTCAAAATATTGAAAATATAGAGTATAGCAATGAATCAATTCAGAATATCAAATTACCTATTACTAAACAATTAAAATTTAACGCTCGAAACATCTCGTTTTAAAAATGAACATATATCATTTTAACTATATTTCTTATATTCTTCTTGTGCATAATTATTTGTTCATTATAATTAATACGTTTCAAATACTCCATAAAAAATCTAGTAATATTCTCGTTGTTAACGTTAATTTTCTTATTGATTTATCATTAAAATAATGTTCAATTAATCGTTCGTATAGTATTGTTTTTCATGTTTTCATCACTATAATTTTTCTTGTTCACACAGTTCTCACGTATAAACACACAGTATCGATTTGATTTTACTTTTTTGACGTTTTTCAATGGTTCTTGAAAAAACATTTATAAATTTTCATTGCTCAATGAATAATGTTGTAATTAATATCTAAACTAATTAAACAGATTTATTCTAGTCTTCATTAATGATAACGGTATTACAATTGATACAGAGCAACAATAATATTAGGGACTTGTTCAAAATAGTCATTTTAATATAATTAATAATTTACCGATGCGAAGTATCTAAAACGTACAAGCAGATATTTATTACTACGCAAACACAAGTCAAATTGATTTAAACATTCGTACGATTTTACTTTTCGAATAATACAGCGTCTCCTTAATGTTTGGTTGCATATCATCAAATTTTAACTCTTTTAAACAACACTTCTAATTCTAACCATTCAAGAATCTTATGTCCAATCTTCATCCCAAAATATAAGGCCGATAGTTGTTTTTTGAATAACTCAAAGACAGTAAAAGATAGAGACTTGTGGCTTTCAGCAATCGAAAGAGGACAGTTTAGCCTTTATTTTCCTAAGCAAGACCGTT